TTTCAACAGAACAGGTAGACTCACTTTTTGGAGCTTACCCTTTCACTGCCCTCACTGGGAACAGGAGACACCTTGAGTCAGTACCTGGCTCACACTGCGGTCCATCCCAGGGCCAGCTCCATCTGTGCCAGTTCTGCAATATGGGGACCACAGTATCATTTCATCTGACAATCACCACTCCCCAAGCCTTCAGCACTGAACCTGAGGAGGCAGAGAGGGAGGCTTTGGAAATGTTCCTGCCAGGACAATGCCTTTCTTCCTACCCAAACTCGAGAGTCTCTGAGCTCATTCACGGGAGATGGCATAAGAGCGTTTGCTCTAGGTCTCTTTGCCGGACTTGTCGAGCCTCACCCACTGCCACCGAGTGCTAGGCCCACAGAGGCCTGGCAGAAGCCACTCAATCCCCACTACCCATGACTAGGAGGAAAGTGGCCAGAGCATGAGGGTTCGAGTTCTTCAGTCCCAGAGTCCCGGAAGCCAGAGCGCCCAGCGTCTACTCAGGGACGCAGAATCCCTCGTTCCACGCCCCCACCCCACCACAAGGGCCACCCCAGAAGAAATCTATTCGTAATTTGGGTCCCTTTGTGTTTAAGTATCGTGGGGAGGGGGCGATCTAGATTCTACGGACTTCAAGCTAACGATGACCTGTGTGGGCCTCACTCTGAACAGAAAACTCTAACCCAGCGTGGGTTCCCTCGTTTTCCCCAAAAGGCCAAGGCCCAAAGAACCCTTTTCATTTGGCGAGGGGCTTGAGGGAAGGGAGGGGCGAGGGCGGAAGCGGGTCAGGGTCTGCAAGCCAGCGGCCCAGCGCAGCGGACTTGTCCGGCTGCTCAGCTTGGCGGCCAGCTTCCGAGCCGGCAACGCGGTTGTCTTCTCCTGGGCTGGAGAGTGGGGACGTCCCTTCCCCGCCCCCAGGCGTCCCTAGGGTCGGCGCCAGAGCCCGGAAGCCCAGGAGGCTTTCGCTCAAGGGCGGCGAGGCGGGCTCTGGGTCCCTCTCCCAGCCAGGCCGAGTTTAGCATGTGGAGGTGGCGCGGGAGCGCGGGCATGGACCCCCAAACCTCACTGGTGCTTTCCTTTCCCTCCACTAGCGCCGTAGCCCTCCCCAAATTGCCCGTCTCCGGTAGGACTGACTCTGCCTGCCTGGCCTCTCAGCTACCAACTTTGCCCGCAAGTCTAGATCCCAGACCTGGTAAGTCGCGTTCCTCCCTTACCCCGCCCCGCCACCTTACTAGCGGACGCGGCCCGAGAGAATGCGCGCGCGTGGCCTGAGGCGCGCGCCGAGAATTTGGATTGATTTGGAACTGCGGCGCCCATTTGGCCTCTGCCGCTGCGGTGTATACGTTTATATGCCGAACACGCCAGGGTAGTCAGGGAATCGCAGGGCTCCCCAGAGAGGCGGGAGCGAAAAGAGTGCAGGCCCACTCTTCTGGATTCTCTTGGCCCTATGGACACCAAAGCCATCTTTTAAGAATAAGCTTTCTGCTGGTCTCTAAAAGGGGAAAGGGACAGCGGGGGAGGAGAATTACCCCTTTCCCTAAGCAGTTTGTAATCACCAAGGTCTCCAACAAAGTTTGCTTGGCGGTTTCCATTTGAATGCTGTGAAATTGTTATTATTGCTATTTTAAGTTAAGGTTTCTAAGAGTCACAGCTTCTCAAATATACGTGCCTCTTGAGGACGCTTCAACAATTACCTTGTCCACTAACTGCACTTCCTTCCCACTGGAAAAAATAAACTTAGTTTTTCAGTAGTTGCCTTAGGCCACGTCGTTTACATGTCACTAATGTGAAGAAAGAAGGGAAGAAAAGAAGAACAGCCTTGGCATTTCTAGTGGGAGCTCCTTGCGCTTTATTATTGAAATGTGAAAGATGGATTTTTGGGTGGGAGGGGGAGGTAGGGCGCTGGAAGAGGGCTTTTGAACCACAGTGCCCTGTTGCAAGGGGCTGACCTTTGGCTGACACAGCCACGGAGCAGGCCGTTCGTTAACGAGGATTTGATACATTAGACATTCGAGCTGGGCGTGTAAAGCTACACTCTCAATCCAGATTTCGCTCAAATTAGTGTTCGAGGAAATGATCTTTCCAAGTCCTGAGGCTTAATCAAGTGTCAGGCAGCCGGATCGCTGCCTGAAAAGGGCAGCGAAGGACACCCGGGTAAAAGGCACATTCCTAGCTCCTTTAAAATAACAACAACAACAACAACAACAATAAAGTCAACAAAGCAAAACAACAGAACAGAAACCTGCTTTGAATAATTCCTAAAATCCTGTAAGTTGCCACTCTGAGGGAACGCTTATAAATAGGGTTAATCACCTCCTTTTAATGAAATTCCGTTCTGAGAAATCCTAACACCAGTCAAGGCTGTGAAGACGGTGTCACAGTTATGACAATATTTTTTTGAGGGGTGTGTGTGTGTGTGTGTGTGTGTGTTTCTGTTTTACTCTCTAGAGATACTAGAGTGTGACAATTTATATCCACCAGGCAGTGGGGCACATGGAAAGCGGATAGTCATAGTCACAGGTTTTTAAAGCCTTCTGAAAGTAGAGGCGTCTCGATTTAATTTGGTTCGACTTATCCCCAGACTTTGGAGTTCAGAAAAGGAAGGCAGGCTGGCCACTAAGTCCCTGGCCTGGCGCTGTGCGGTTGAACTTGCAGCGTTTCAGCCTCGCAGATGGGGTTGGAGTTGGAGGCGTCGCTGCAGCCAGGACTGGGAGGCCACTTGCTTGGAGAGTGAGACGGTTCACGCGGTATTTATTGACTGGCTCGAGAAAGGTGTTCTTTTACTTAAGTTGTCATTAAAGCGCCAAGTTTTAAAAGCGCATCCCCAGAAAATGCTTTTATTCTCTTTCCCCCCAGTAACAGAGCCCACTAATTGCTTTCAACTGGAGAAAGGAGACACTCACTCCTGCCGGAGGTCCCAGCCACTCTCTGGTGGAAGCTGGAGGGCGAAGCGAAATTGTGTTCTAGCTCTGAGCCCCGCAGCCCTCCAATGGCTGACTTCCTTCAGCTGCTGTCCTGGGGAGCGAATCGCAGCGGCAGAGGCAATTTTTCGCACCTGGGTGTTGCTTTCTGCCGCCGGGTTTTGCCTGAGCCATGCAGGCGCTGTTCCTGGGCCCCGAATTTATTCCAAGAGAAAACGCACAAAAATCAGTTGTGCTTTCAAATCTTTATTCAGGGAGTCTCTGCCACCAACTCCCCCTCTGTTCTCCGGCTCTAGATGAAAAGGTAGAAAGTTAAACGAGAAAGGCAACCGCTATCACGAAAAAAAGATATTCTGAGGATTCCAGGGAAGAGAAATTACTTCCCAACAGCCTACTTTCGAGAAATCCAGAGTGGATAGGGCCCATGAGAGCTGCAGGATTTTTTCCAGACGGAGTTGTGTAGACTCAGTCCCAAGCATGGGCCGATGGCTTCCCGAACTCGGGTCCCCTGTCTCACGATTTGGGCAACCGCAGGGGATTGAAGACACTTTTCTGGACGATAGAGGCCAAGGCCCCCACTGGAAAATCAAACTTTTCCATAATCTTGATAACTCCCCAGCTTGGGAGGGTTGTAAAATTTGGTCTAAAGTGAGAAGAATGGGGAAAGGAGAGAAGGTTGGAGGAGGGTGGGAGAGTAAGAAAAGAGGAAAGCCTGGTTCAGCGCGGGGTCGAGTTCATTTTCCCTCATTGGCGGGTTCCAGCCCCAGCTCACTGATGAGAAACTCTCCGGGAGCCCCAACTTCCAAATTGTGTCAAGCTGAGATAGAAACGGTGGGTTTATTTCGTTTAAGGTCCACATTTTTGGAGTCAGTGGAAAACAGTATTACAATGTCCCATGTAAGAGTTGAGGGAAGGAAGCAAGCACTGTTCATAGACTTGCCCTGTTTCTCCCTGGCCTTTTTGTTCTAGAACTTCCAATCCCGTTTCACCCCAGGAACCTATACTCGGGTTCGGGCCTCTAGACTCCGTCGTCGCAGCCTGGGGCGCCTATGAGGACCCCGGAGCCGCAAACGCTGCCATTCTAACTGCGACAGGACTTTCTGACGGGCGCAAGGAAAGCCCCTTTTGTCAGTCAGTTCTGAGGTTTTATCCGACCCTGCCCTGGACTCCCTCCCCGCAGGCCCCCGGAGCTCCAGTCCAGGCCACCGGGGGACTGCTGGGGACCTGACGCAGGCAGCTCAGCCGCTGACGTCAGGGGCTGCCGGTGGCTGGAACCCGAGCCCAGGCCACAGGCGCCAGGCGCGGGCATCATTAATTATCAGGCACGAAATGTTGCAAAGAAAGCGTAAGCTATTCTGCTGGCAGCTGATAAATATACTTTTTTTCTTTTGGGAGGAGGGAACGGGGAAGGAAAAGGTAAAATGCAGTAAGAAACAGTTATTTGGTTTCTTAAGGCTTCTTGAGGCTAACTTCTCACCCTCCTCCCTCCAGCTCTGCCCCTTGGGTCCACTCTTCTGTAGGTATGAACTCCGCACTTTCCACTTGGTTTGGGGGATTCCTAGGGAAAGTGCCAATATTTGTTCGTGTGGGAACTGCAGTGCTACGATTTCCTTGTAGATTACAGCTCGAGGTGCCGTCAGCCAAGGGAGTATTTGCTTCCTAAAGCTGGATGTATCTTTTCCATATCATCCCTTCCGTTTGGTCAGATCCTTGGCCCAATATCTGATGTTATTATTGTTGTTATTAAGTAAAAAGCAAACAACAAGAACCCCTCACCACAAAGACTGGGCCAAAAGAAATGAAAAGTGCAATTCGGCATCAAGAACGAAGCCTTTCATTTGTAACAGCGCAAGCACCTTTCCTTGTTTTCTTTTGTTTTAAAAGGAATTATAATGAGTAGCTTAAAATGGAATTTTAGGCAGCAATAAAGTCTTCAGAATCACATTCGTTCTTGGTTCTAGTTCCAATGAATTTTCAAAATCCTTCTTCTGAGGATCATTGCCGAATAAATACAGGGCAGAGCAGGGTCATTGTGAAGCGAATGCTCTCTTGAGCTTTTCCTCGCAAAGGGGGAAAAATATGTCATTCATAACGGAATTCCACAGGTGATAGTAAATCTATTTCCTGGAAAAAGAACAAAGAGAAATTAGAATTAAACTTTAAAACTCACCCAAATTTAGAGAATTTTAATATCACTAGAAGCAATGCTCTGCAAATTCCAATGACTTGAATATTACCTAATTTGTCATAATTAATTTTGTTACAATTAACTAACTGAATTAAAAACTCCTTCCAGAAGAACCTGTATACAAAAATAGAGCTCACATGTATCACTGCATATTGTCAGTAAATAACAGCTCTTGAAAGTACAAGATTATTTTTATAAGTATGCATGTAAATGTGTTTGTCAGTATCTACAGGGTCAGAATAAAAAGCTCTTCAGTTATTTTATAGGAGGTAAAAATATCCATAAAAGTAATTTACAAGGCAAATTGTTTAGTGTTTAACAGACAGAAAATCAATGAACTAAATTTTAATCTCCTTTTGGAAACTTCATATCACTGTAGATGGACTTTTATCCAGAATTATGTTGGTGATGATTTTATTCTGAAATTAGTAATTTATTTTTAACCAATAACTACATGGTAAACACTTAACGTATGTATATATTGATGTCTCAGAAATGTACAGTAATTATTTTATAAAATATGAGTGAAAAGGAAGTTTATTTTTATATAAAGTATAATATTTTTTGGTATTTACATCTTTATGAAGGTGAATTTTAGAGAGATAAATTGGTCACACCAATACATGTATAAAATTTCTTAAACATACATCAGTAGAAACATTCAGGAGTTGGTGTGTTAAGAGTATTAGAAAAAAAGAGATATCTGCACACACACACACAAACACAAGACCAATGAAAAGAAACCTCATTTGGGGTAGATAAAAACAAGAAAAAAATCAGGGTCCAATTTTTTTTTTCTTTAACCTTATTAACTATTTTTGCGGCTTGTAATACTTAGACTTTTATTTAAAATTTCAAACATTGTGTGTTTATGAGATTGAAAAATATTTGGAATTGAGGTCAACAGTTAATCAGCATTCAGTAACTTCAGCGCTGTGTTTCTGTTTTATACACCACTTCTTTCATGTACTATAAATCTTTCTTGAGGAGTCCACTATTTTTGGTACAGCAGGCTGAAGTTTATGGGTCTAAGATATATTCCAGACTATGTGTATAACACTTCAGCTGGGAAAAATCCCAGGAAATCCACTAGATTTAAAAAGTCAGCTAACATTATTATGGTTTTCAAATCAATAAATATTTATAGATTTACACCAATAATTAAATGGAAGTGTCAAATTTTAATGTCATTATGTGTATTTGTCTTCAAATAGGTGATTTGTACAATTTAGATAATATTCTATCAGGGTTATGTGATTTTTGGTGATGTTTCAGTTATGATTTCACTCTCTGACCTGGTAAAGTTAGTTGGTATCCTTGGCTGTTAGCTTTTTCACTTGTGAACTTCAGTGCCCTGGACAAGATGCTTCCTCAATTTTTATACAGTTCTGAAAGGAGTGATTTGGCTTACTCTTGCTTATAGATTAAAAAAAAAAACTTTTAAAGATAGAATTTTAATTGTAAAAACATTTAAATCAGGATAGTCTACTTAACTGAGTTGGATATAAATGCAGTTAACTAACAATTCATATAGTAAAACCTTATTGTTAAGATTTTTCTTTTTCTGAGAGTCTTGTTTCATAAATAAGCACTTTATTAAACAAGGGATAGTACAGAAAACCTACCTTTCTCTCTTAGTTTGAAAAGAAACTACTGTCCCAATACTTTGTTTATATGAATGATAATGCATATTTTTCTGAATCGGAGATAGAAGGTACCTACAAGACCGAAGCAATGTTAAATTCAGTTGTTAAAGGACTTGCAGTTGGTAGAGAACTTTAGGTTCTGGCCATATGTAAATAGATGTGGAATATGTTAGCTATATCACTGAAGGCTATACAAATCCCACTATGTAAAGTAATAAAAATAAGAAGAAAGCATAACAACTCTTCTGCATATTCTCATTGCTAGATCATTGTGAAGGGTGAATTATATGGAGTACATTATTCAACCTGTGGGTTCTGCAGCTGTGGCTTCTTACTTGCCTTGTAGCTGGCTGCACCTGAATGGATTAATTGATTAATTAAATAATTCAACAAATATTAAAGACAAATATGACCATTGTAATATAGGCTATGGCATTTCAAAAATAAATTCCAAATACTTTCTACACTCCAGGAATATAACAGGAGAGACATATACAGTTAAACTATATACAAAGTAAAATATAGAATTTGCCGTAAGAGAAGCACATATAAAATTAGAATTTTTAAACTTTTTGGTTCCCTTTAAAAGATATTGAGTGTTATGTGCCCTTTTAAATAAGAACAAAATGTATCTCAAACTTCTCCTACATCCATTCCCTGTTCTCTTTTCCTTCTTGCCTCTTCTTCCTTCTCTACTCATCCTTGCTCTGGAACCTAAGGCAATATGAAATCTGTAAAAAGTGCTGTGAGCTTGCTGTCTGAATCCTCGCTAGGCCTCTGTCTTTTGGGGGCCGTTTTGTGCCTGCCCATCTGCAGTTGGGCTTAGGCTCTGTGAATGCTGGGCCCCAGGGCGGGTCAGAGCATTTTTCTCCCAGGATGTCCACTTCATCGTGGAAGGGGGTGAGGCCAAGCAGAGCTCAAGTTCTAACAACTCCAGAAAAGATTTGGAAAAAGGACACTGCGTGCCCATCAGAACACTTAAACCTTGCAGAACCGTGCAGTATTCCTCCCCCTTTTATTACCTGTTAGATTTAAATACAGATTTCCTCATCACTAACAAATAAGCCTTTTCTTACTTTTATTACAGTTCAATTGTTCGTTTTTATTCCATTTAAAGTATTTACTATAAAAGTGTTGGAATACTGGCAAATTTTTTTATAAATTTTCAATTTATTCTGAAATGTTAAGTCATTTTTTCTTTCCCTGAGGCTGACTTGTTCTCTGGCAGTATTTTTAAAGAAAATTTTATGTCCTGCTTTTAACATCTGATAACCCCCGTGAAACCAAGGAATAATTCGTGTTCTTTGAAACTGTTTGCATTCAAATTCTATAAATTCCTGTTTTTCACTCCTTTGTTGCTGTTCTTTGGGTCAATTTGAGAGTGGTGCAACATACAGCAGTCTGAATAGTAGTTGCTAGCTGTTTAGATGGGTGGATTTGGTCAGGAGCATTTGCAAAGAGTGAGTACTTTGTCTTGTGTATATTTTGTCATTTTAATGTGATTCATATTCTCTTTATAAAAAATTTTATTCTGAACAATTTTAAATATATACAAAAATAAAGAGAATAATAAATCTCTATTTTCCAACTTCAAAATTTATCAACTTATGGTCCATCTCATTTTGTTTATACTTCCATTCACTATTCTCCTTCAAGATTATTTTGAAACACATCCTAGATATCATATTATTTATATGCAGCTATTTATTATTTAACTGATATATAGTTAATGATTGTTACAAAGAAAATGGCTTTCAAAGACAACTAGTATGTTTTCTGAAACACTGCCTGTTTTGAGCTTTTGGGTTATTATTCTCACTCCTTTTAACAAAATGCTGCTTTTGATACCAGAGTCTTTATTAGTCACTGGAATCAAGAAGCTCTGTAGTTCTCTAGAGGAAGAGAATAATTCAGTTGATTATCATTATAATCAATCAAAATGGAATTTTCAAGTGAGAAATCTCTTAATTCCCAGGGCCCAATACTTATGGTAGAATAAAAATAATTCATTCACAAGTTTCTGAGTGTAAGAAGATATGATGACTAAGAATTTGTGGGATTTTTGGAAAAAAAATTCATATAAACTTGTACTGATATGAAGAAAACTATGGTATGAAAAACTGTCACTAATGACCACTGGATTTCAGCTTTCAACCACCTAGAGCAACTTTCCAATTATCAATAAAGTAATACATATGTTTGTGCCTGTGATTTAAATGTATTTTTATTTCATTAAATTATATAAAACCATATGTCGTGGGTATTTTTTAAGAAAAAACACTTATCTTTTAGAGATCTATGCTGAACTATTTATGGGTGAAGTGATATGATAACTGGAACTTACTTCAAATAGCTGTGGATGAGGTGGGAGTGAGTGAATGTAAGAAGAAACAAGATTTTCATTGCTAGATGATGGGTACTTGGGAATTCATGATAGTATTTTCTCTTTTTCTGCATATGCTTAAATTTTTTCTAAAAATTTTTAAATATAACATGAAAAGACAGAAAAAATTCCCCAAATGTTGATATATCCATTTATCTATCAGCAGACTTCTCTGCTGATAAGTGGATATACATTAAAATATTTAATATTCATTAAATATTTTAATATTTTAATGTCCATCCTGGACAACCTAGGTATGTAGTTCAACAAAGCAATGAACCTCTCTCAATCTTGAATTTCACATGTATAAAAATACTTTCTCAGGTTTAAATAGGGACTCGTATTTTTCCAGGCCCTCTTATATATTACATATCAATTTCTAATACCTACCTTGCAAGAAAAATATTGTTTAATAATTTAAACTTGCAGTTACTTGAATGTTTGCCATCTAATTGTTCTGACATCTATGAAAATATCTAGTTGTTACGTTCTGCTAGCAGTTGTTTTGTACATTGATTATGACAAAACCTCTCTCAGTATGTGGCAAAAATAATGATAGTTATAGATTTTTAAATGAGATTATTGCTATAGCATAATGCTGGGCCATTCACTTTCCTGGTGGGATATATGGACTTTTGAAGTTCAGAATTAACTCCTGCTTCATTGTTTCTTCTTCCGTAACATACCTGACCTTTACACTTTATTTCCGTGCCATTCCTGCTGGAGTTTGAAAACACGTTCACAACCTCAGCTATAATTCATGATAAGATTTGGGATTAAATGATAATTTTTGGACTTGGGTTTTTGTAGCAGGCCTTTATTTTTAGTTTACATTGTCCTTCCACATTTTATAACCAGATCTGGAATATTAGAGATGAGAACAAGCAAGTCTCACAAAATGGCAAAATTACCTTTCTTCTAATCTTTGTCTGGCTCACAAAGTGTAATACTGTCTGGGCTTTCTTCCCTGAGCTTGCTATAACCAGATTTTTCTTCCTGAGATCCAAATCTCTTCTAAGGTCTATAGCCCTAGACCCTACCATGAGACTAGGACGTTAGAAGCATCCTAGTACTTCCCTCCTTGCAGCTGGATCCTGGTCAACACTTCTACAGCAGCAGTGGTTCTTCTTACAGCACTCAGAAATAATGGCTCATCACTGTGTTTTGCCTGTTGTCACAGAGCTTTGGTACCAAACTATATCTGAACATGCCCAGTTTGGAAAAGATGCATCAAATTGACTGACCTTTCCTTGCCCATCCTTTGCAGTCAAGTAAGCTTTCTCTAGACCAGTGTTTCTCAGAACTTGCATCCAAATCACCTTTGTTAAAAATTGTATTCCTGGGTATCACTTTAAGTCTAATAAACCAGAATGCCTGGGCTAGGGGTGGTGATCAGGAAACTGCATTTTAATAAGTGATGTTTATTTATTTATTTATTTGAGACAGAGTCTTACTCCAGTCTCACAGGCTAGAGTGAAGTGCTGTGATCTTGGCTCACTGCGGCTTTGAATTCTCAGGCAATCATCCCATCTCAGCTTCCTAGTAGCTGAGTGCAGGTACATCACCACACCTGAGTAATTTTTTTTTTTTTTTGTATTTTTACTCAGGTGTGGTGATGCACCTGCACTCAGCTAATTCCTTTTTTCTCTGCATTAAGACCAACGTCAAGAAGGCAAACATTTCTTCACCTCACAGGAGACATCAGTTCAGGTCAGATACTTTTGCCAGAAATATATATGTATATTTAAAATATTTAGGTCACTATATGAAACCCACTGTACCTTTTTGATTCTTTTATGCTAAAGATTTTTGTTGTTGTTGTTTTGAGATAGAGTCATGCTCTGCCATCCAGGCTGGAGTGCAGTAGTGCAGTCATAGCTTACTGCAGCTCGGACTTCATAGGGCCACGTAATCCTCTCATCTCAGCCTCCCTAGTAGGTGGGACTAAAGGTTTGTATCACTACAACTTACTAATTTTTTAAGTTAAAAAAAATGTTTGTAGAGATGAGGTCTCACTGTGTTGCCCAGGCTGGTCTTGAAATCTTGGCCTCAAGCAATCTTCCTGCCTTGGTCTCCCAAAGTGCTGGTATTACAGGTGTGAGCCACCATGCCTGACCCAAGCTAGAGACTTAAAGCCTTTTTTTTTTTTTAAATTTAAAATTTTTATTTTTTTAGATGGAGCCTTGCTCTATGGCCCAGGCTGGAGTGCAGTGGTGTAAACTCAGCTCACTGCAACTTCTGCCTCCCTGGTTGAAGCAATTTTCCTGCCTCAGTCTCCCAAGTAGCTGGGACTACGGGGCTACACCACCAGTTACAGCTAATTTTTGTATATTAAGTAGACCTGGGGTTTGCCATGTTGGCCAGTGTAGGAAATTGGTCAGAGTGGTGGGAGAAACTTTTGGCCTTATGTCTGTACTGAATAAAAGCAAGCAGTGCCAGCTGTTCTGTTTGGTCATTAGAGCCGGCAGTCCCCTAGCCACTGTTACACTGTATACCTGTGTCTGAGTACTCCTTTTATCCATTGCTTGGCCAAGGTCTGCAGGACCGAGCTGGCAGGCCACGTTGTTCTCAAACTCCTGACTTCAAGTGTTCTACCCGCCTCAGTCTTGCAAAGTGCTGGGATTACAGGTATGAGCCACCATGCCCAGCTGAAAGCCCTTTTTTTAAAGTTGTTTGAACATCACCTTGTCCATGATGAGCATCCTTGCTTTTCTATGCTATTCTCTCTACTGTCAAAACAACTTGTCTTATTTTGGAATGCTTTGTCATTGGAAACCCCGTTTATTTCTGAACTCTTCCTTCAGAATGGAGCTGTCTCTCCCTAACCTCCCACATTGCACAGTTGCTGATGAGCCTTGTAATTAATGAAGATTTGCCAACAGTTGCACACTCATTGACGTTCTGAGCTTATTGAAAAAAGTAGGTGAGCAGCAGTTATTGGGCTGGGGTCTCTAACTGTATGTTGCCAATGGGCTGTAGATTGGCTATTGTCATTTTTAGTAAGAGAGTTCTGAACTCATATAAATTCAGGCTAATTATCCTTGGGAATTATGAAATGATTTGAAATGTAGACAAAGATAAATTTTCTAAATAGAATTAGCTTCTTCTGTTGGGCATATTTAAACAATTGTAGTACAATATACCCTATGAATCTTAAAAAATGCCCGGATTATTAGTTTGGGCTTGTTGATTCATATTTCAAATTGCTTATAAAATAACAGCTTCTGCCGCCAGCCTCACTTTCATTGTTTCAGTGCTGAGAGCGTGACTTAGAAGGGTGGTCGAAATCTCAGATGCCTGTAGGAGCCAAAAAAGGAAAACAAGCAAAGCTTCTCAGTATTAGAAATCACTAGGGAGAGGTAAGAAGTGGGGAAAACTCGAGAGAGAGAGGAAGCGCTGCTGCAGTCAGTTGTTGACACATGATAATACCTGCCTAGCACTAACACTCCTCAGTTTTTTTAAGGGAAGATTTTAATATGACACAGAAGTGTCAACTAACTCAAAGATTTTTGTTTTGTTGTTGTTTGTTTTTTAAGCCCTCTCTAGCCCAGTGCATTGCAGGCCAACACACATACACACTGCAGGCTAGATTCAATCCCCGGTAAGCAGTTTTCCACTTATACAGCCCAGAAAGTTCAATGATCACGACAATCATTTGAAACTAGTTCTTCACAAAGACTTAAAAAACAACTGGCTGCTAATAATCTAAAGTTGTCAATTCCAAGTTGTTCTGTCCATTTTCTGTTTGGTTAAAATGTTACATCCCAGTTGCCTGATGTTTGAAACTTGATGGTTAAAAGTAGAGTGTCCATATATCCTGGACTGCTGAAGACAGCCCTGGCTTAGGCTGATATGAGTTAGAACTATCAGTCCTGGTCCCTTTCATTCCCAACCTGTTCCAGTATGGACAGTCAATTACACAGACATCTTAAATTGTTCCTTTGGTCCCCTTCCCCGTTTATTACTTACTTTCTTATTTGTTCCATTAAAAAAAAAGCTGTCGCCGGGCGCGGTGGCTCAAGCCTGTAATCCCAGCACTTTGGGAGGCCGAGGCGGGTGGATCATGAGGTCGAGAGATCGAGACCATCCTGGTCAACAAGGTGAAACCCCGTCTCTACTAAAAATACAAAAAGTTAGCTGGGCATGGTGGCACGTGCCTGTAATCCCAGCTACTTAGGAGGCTGAGGCAGGAGAATTGCCTGAACCCAGGAGGCGGAGGTTGCGGTGAGCCGAGATCACGCCATTGCACTCCAGCCTGGGTAAGGAGAGCGAAACTCTGTCTCAAAACAACAACAACAACAACAAAAAACAAAACAAAACAAAACAAAACAAAAAAGCTGTCATGGAGCATTTTAAATATATAAAAACAACTCTGTGTAACTGTAGCACTTTAGGATGCCAAGGCAGGAGGATTGTTTGAGCTCAGGAGTTCAAGGCCAGCCTGGGCAATAAAGTGAGACCCCTCCATCTCTAAAAAAAAATACAGAAAATTACCTGGGGGTGGTGGCACATGCCTGCAGGCTTCTTCAGTCTCAGGAGGCTGAAGTGAGAGGATTGCTGGAGCACAGGAGGTCAAGGCTGCAGTGAGCTATGATCACACTACTGTGACTCCAGCCCGAGTGACAGAGCAAGACCGTGTCTCAAAAAAATAAAACAATGAATAAAAAAATTAAAAACACCCATATATTAATAGTTACCCAGCTTCAACAACTATCAACAAATGGCCACACACGTTCCTTTCATACTCTTACTTTACTCTCCGTTCCTATATTATTTTGAGAAAAATCCCATATTTCATATCATTTCAGCCAGTTTCTTATGTCCTTTAAATCAATATTTTCTTTGTAACAGTCTACCATTAAACGTTTAAATTTTAACACACTGTACTTCAGACTGTCCTTATTTTCCCCAACACCTTGACTTCCTTTTAGCCTTTTTCCTTTCTTCACTGTCCACCTGTGCTTTTCCCAAATCCCCCAAAGTGTCTTTGAAGTGTCTTTAGTACAGAGACACTTCATTAGTATTTCTTGAGAACTTTTTAGAAGTTGTTAAATATTTGTTGTTGCTTAGGGGAATACCAGATAATATTTGTGACTAGCAAGGACAAATAATTTTATTTTTTCTAGTCCTTCGATTGCATCTATCTTGTCAAATCTTGATTTCCTCATTGGTTTTTCTCTTGGATGATTTTGGTGCTTTATATTATTGGAATGTTATATACTTGGAAGATTCTTCCCAGATTCCAATTCTATGAAGATCTCTGTTATCTATTATTACTTAGACATTTTTGGTTGGGTACATGTATTCTGATAACTATGTCTTTTGAGAAACTGAGTTGCAAATAATCAGAGAAAATAAGCTCGGTCTTTAAACTTGGAAAACTTTTTCTTAACTATTATTTTAGGTTTGGGAGTACATTTGAAAGTTTGTTACATAGGTAAACACGTGTGACAGGGGTTTGTTGTACATATTTTTTCATCATCCAGGTATTAAGCCCAGTACCCAGTAGGTATCTTTTCTGTTCCTCGCTCGCCTTCCATTCCCCACCCTCAAGTGGAGCCCAGTGTCTGTTTCCCTCTTTGTTAAACTTAGATAACTTTTTTAAGGACTCAAAATAATTTTATTTTGTTGATTTTTGGATTAACTTTTGGATTCATTTATTTATTTATATTTATGACTATACATTATATAATCTTTGTATATATAATTTGATAATACAAGTAATTGCTTCTTTAAATAAACCTGTTTTATTAGTTTATATTTTTTCTATTTGGGAACCCTGTATAAAAAGTCTTACATTTGTACTGCTCTTTGATTTCCCTCTGTGTTTTATTTATATTTTTCTTTTCTAGAAGTGATATTATTCAATAACTTACATTAATATTTTCTCTTTTTTGAGTCTTACATTGTATTTCTCTTTGCTGTGTATGTTGGTAAATCTCCACTTGTACTTCCTTCCCCACCTTATTCAATCTTCACACAGGTCCAACATCAAAAGTTTCTGAAAGCGTATGCTATATATGGCTTAATAATAACTACATTTTATCCATTTCAAACCAAACTAAATTATTAGATGTATTCTTGATGAACATATATCTCTCATACTAAATTGGAGGCGTCTTGTGACCAGAATCTCAATCTTTTAAGTCCCTGTATCAATGTGTCAATATAGTTTGAATATGGTTGACTATCCAAATATTTGTTGACTTCAAATCTACATAGGAAAACTAAGTTTCATTTCTATGTACTTGCTGGCCATAAGTACATATGTGTTATAATTTTATACATAGTAAGGATTTAAAATATGAGCAACATTAATAGGGGTCTCAATCAATTATAGAAGTTTTAGCCATAATTCCATCAGTTTAATGTTACGGATTCTACACAGTAAATCAAACTGTTTTTATTAATCCATTTTCCTTCCCAATTGCTGCTCAACTATGTAATTAGATAATTTCTGCACAGTTTAAAATATTAGCATTGCCATGTTTTGTTTGTTTTAAAAATTAAGTATATCGAAGTATAATATATATACGATAAAATGCACCTATTTTAAGTGCACATTTGCAAAAGTTTCAAAAAGTTTTGACAAATTTGTATACATATGTAACAACCTCCACAATCAAGATATATAAAAACATTTCGTCACTCTAATTTCAATCAATTCTCTGAAGCCCTGGATCCAGGCAATCCTGATATGCTTTGTGTCACTAAACTAGTTTTGCCTTTTCTGGAGTTTCATATCAATGCAAACATATAGTATGTATTCTTTTGCATATGGCTTCATTTGCTCCACATGATGTTGTTGTTTATATCAGTATTTTATTCCTTTTTATTGCTGTGTAGTTTCAGTAGTGTGAACACCCAATTTGTTTCTCCATATACTTGTTGATGGCTATTAGGGTTGTTTCCAGTTTTAAGTTGTTAGGAATAAATGTGCTATAGACATTTTGATACCAGTCTTTTTTGGGTATCTATTGTCATTGGGGGCAGCTAGATATTTTAGTGTTGAATTGTTGGTTGATATGTTAAGTATAGGTTTAATTTTGTGAAAACTACGAAAACGTACCATTTTAATTTTTTACCAAAACTGTAATAGAGTACCAGTTGCTTACACCTTCATATGGCATATGATTATTTTTATTTTTCCTGTTTAATATCATTTTGTAGTGCTTTTTAGTTTTCATGATCCTTAAATATATTTGGAAAAATACATACATATGTGTGTGTATATATATATTTAATTGAAAAAAGGATATTGCAATGTAAAGGATTTTTTTCCTAGTTATTGATACAAGTATCTGTAGCCTTACTGCACCTACAAATCTTTTGGCCAAGACAGGCCTTGGGTAATATTTGGAAACAAGTAAAGATTTTGCTTCAAATCTCCTCTTTCCTCTTGGAGTTCATATCTGTTTTCTGCACCTTATTATTGCAATGTGGCCTGTCATTCTAAGTCCAACCTCAACCTCAATTTTTTATCACTTTAGGACAAAAGATTTTTACATTTTATACTCCTGATTTTGTATTAAATGTGCCTTAGTGGAAAGAATTTAATTTTATACTCCTGACTTTGTATTTAATGTGCCCTAGTGGACAGAATTCAAATGCATATATATACATTCAACATATTTAATATATTAAAAATATTATATATTTACTTATATTTTATATTTATTTAAATACATTATATTTAAATATATAAGATATTTAAATATTAAAAGTATATAACGTTTAAATATATTCAACATGTTTAATATCTCAACTATATATACTCAGCACATTTCATATATATAAATATATAAAGATTAAAAGCTTCTTAATCATTTGTTGTTTAAAGATGTATCTCTTCTATTTGTAAAGCTGGCCCTGACAATGCATTTAGTCATTTCTAGATTTTCTCTGAGTTTTGCAAGTGTCTTCTATTCCTACAAGGACTTCAAGAAAGGACAAAGCACTGAGTGCGTGTGTGTGTGTGTGTGTGTGTGTGTGTGTGTGTGTGTACCAACATGTGTTTTACTTCCCTCGGAAAAGGAGGTCTGTCTCCAATACCTTCATAGTATTCCACAGTGAGATCAGTTGGGAATGAGTTTCCTACTTTTTGAAACTTTCTAAATTGTCTAGTCCTTGTACATATCCTGCTCTGCCTGGCTAGGCAGATGGAGTGTAAGCTTGATGTGTTTCCCTGCCAGGGTGACCTTTCATTCTCCCAGGTGTTTTGAATTAGGTACTGCAGTCCTCAATCACTCAGTCACAATTCTTAGACTAGGTTACAGCCAAGCAGTTAGCCTCAGGGCATGGCCAAGTTCAAGTTCAGTTTATTAGTATCAACCTGAGGCACGTCTTTTGTTTCTGTTCTCATAGTTATGTTAGGAAACTGCAGAATTCAGGCTACTTTTAAAAAATCAATTGCCTTCTCCCCCAGAACATTTACTTTGGAACAGGTAGAAAGGGTCAGAATTTAGAGTTAAATGTACTCTCCTGTGTGCATATATGTAAGTATGATTGCACATATGCTTTCTTCACTCGTTCATTTACTTGCTGTTGATAAAATAGATAAAGGATATAGTATAACTTTAAACAACACAAGAGAGTACAAAACTGAAAGTTAAGACTCTCTACCTTAGGTGCCTAAACTTCTCTCCCAAAGGCAACAACAGTTAGCATTTTCTCATGTATCAATCCATACATTTTATATTTGTAATAAAACATATATTTGTATTTATATACTTTAATTTACATCCTTTCCAAAGGCTCAGATGTATTTGGCTATTTTCACATAAAGTGTGTTTTGGCTATTATTCCAAGATAGCACATACATGTCTACTACATTCTTTTTAAAAACTATGTTTGGCCACATAGTATTCTATTGCATGGATGTACATACTTTATTTTATATCTTTTATCTTTTATTAAGAAAAATATTTATTTTTAGTTTCCGATTACATATTTGAAGATTTTATTTTTGTTTGCCAATACAAATTGTATATACTTATGATGTACAAAGTAATGTTTATATATACACACATATACACACATGTGGAATGATTAAATCAAGCTAATTAACAGGTATATCACCTCACAAACATCATTTTTTTGTGGTGAAAACATTTAAAATTTATGCTTTTAGTAATTTTTAAATAAATGTACATACTTTATTGAAAAAATATCCTATGGAAGAAACTTATTTTCAGTTTAAAAACTTTTTCCTACTAAGGATAATACCGTAGTGAACATTCATACAGATGTATGAAGATATTTATTGGAGACATTCCTAAAGTGGATTGTTGCCTCTTAGCATTTTAATTTTTTTTTGAAGAGAAAACTATATATTCTTCAAATTTACAGCATATTTACTGTACACAAATAAATGCTAAAGGACCATACAATATACTACATTGGTAAATAATCCACAATAAGCTCATGTCAGCATAACAAAAATCAGTAGAAATTCTGTATTGTCAAACAATCATAGCACTAAGAAGATCTCCAGAGGCTGAGGCACAAGAATTACTTGAACCCAAGAGGCAGAGGATGCAGTGAGCCGAGATCACATCACTGACCGTCCGTCCACAGAGACCAGGTTCCTGTAGTTCTCCAACATCACGTCCCTGTATAAAGTCCTCTGAACAGGGTCCAGGCATTTCCACTCCTCCAGAGAGAATTCTATGGCCACATCCCTGAATGTCAATGGACCCTGAGGAAGAGCCATGCTCCTTTTCTTTCCTCTTCTGAACTGCTTCCTCATGTAGCATGAGTCTTTAGAAATCAGTCCGGTTGCAGTGTGACCTTCACTGAGGCTATCCGCTTCCCAAGCATTTTAATTTTTACAGTTATTGCCAAATTCTCCTTTAATGAAGTTGCTTCAATTTACTCTCCCACTAACAACATTTGAAAGTGTCTGGTTTCAGACTACATACTGTCAAACTTTTCAATCTTTGCAGACAAAATCATTTTTCTTCTATAAATAGGAAGCAGATGATCTTCGTTTCTTCATTTTCTGCCACATTGATTTTCCTGGTTTTAACACAGAATAAGATGTTGAATTTTATAACTTATTAGAGTTAATCACAAATTTCAAATGTTGATGATGTAATCACTCCTTATAAGGGAGAACAAGGTGTTTCTCTGGGCCTGCTTTCAATTTCCATGCTTCAGTCTCTCTTTGCTTTAAATCTGCCCACATGCTGATACGTGGCAGTGTTAATTGGGTATTCTGTTTTTTGAATCTCATGTAGAATGTTCATCCAATTCATTTACTACAAAATTGAAAAAAAAGAAAAGGAAGAGTGAACACAGCCATTAGAGATGTTGCAAATAATTTGAGTTAAATGTAAATGTAGAAAGAAAACAGGGAAATTACTATTAAACACACCTTATCCTCTGCAGTGGAATACAATACAGATTCACAATGTCAATTATTTCCACCATCTATCTATCTATCTATTTAAGAGCTGAGAGATTTGAAATATGAGTATGTCAAGTATTTAAATACTAAGTTACCTAAAACGTACTTTATTAAAATATCATTATGCATATTTTAAAGTTAAAACTCTGTGCTGTGTAGATGTTGGGGTAAAATTCCCATTTATTGTCCACTGAATGTGAGGGAAATTGGATTTGTCAGGAAGTTGATTGATATCTCGAAGTGTTTTGTTTTCAGTGACTGGCACTGCTGAGTTACAACCATCTATCATCTAACAGGTAATTAGTCAGATTTCTCATCATGAGCCTTCAATCCTGCTGTTTTATTATTGAAATACCACAAACCAGCAGGCAATTTGAATGCAGATAAAGTTCTCTGTCATGGTCTTAAGGACAAAGACAACATTTTGCAATTCAGCAGTAGTGAGTTTGAATGAAAGTCACCGAAATGTAAGTGTGGGGTCTTATAAAAAAATATGAAAAATTTAAATTGATACCCCATTTGTCCTCCATAGTGACAACTGAGAAACTTGCTGTTTATAAAAGCAACCTAGTGTTCTAATATGAATTTGCTTTATTATAACATTTTACAATTTGAAAGTTAAGTGAAGAAACGTATTGCCTGAAAAATAAAGTTAGATAAAATAAATGAACTAGATCCTGAATAGAGCTTTCATTCATCTTTTTTTTTTTTTTTTGAGACGGAGTTTCGCTCTTGTTACCCAGGCTGGAGTGCAATGGCGCGATCTCGGCTCACTGCAACCTCCACCTCCTGGGTTCAGGCAATTCTCCTGCCTCAGCCTCCTGAGTAGCTGGGATTACAGGCACGCGCCGCCATGCCTAGCTAATTTTTTTGTATTTTTAGTAGAGGCGGGGTTTCACCATGTTGACCAGGATGGTCTCGATCTCTTGACCTCGTGATTCACCCGCCTCGGCCTCCCAAAGTGCTGGGATTACAGGCTTCAGCCACCGCGCCCGGCTCCATTCATCTTTTAAGATATTTTGAAACGATAGATGAAAATAATTTATATTTAATAGTAGCTAAGAATATGAAAAGTTTACTCTTCTTAGAACTATTTTTAATAAGAAAATTTAGATATTAAAATAATTAGAAACTAAAGGTGAATTATTTGTTTGCATTTACACATGCTTTGTATTAGACAAGCTTGCTTCTGATATTGAGGCTAACACACTTTTGAGGCCTTCTTGTGTGGTTTATAGATCTCAGGCAACTGATTCAGGTTAATGACATCCCAACAAGAATGGTAACTTCATATCATTGAATGTTGTTTTCTTGACTTAATTCAAAATCATATATTATCTTTCAGAAAAATAGATCTCAAAGTGCTTTAGCTTTCCAAAAAGTCACAGGATACCATAGTCATTACCTCTTAATGAAGTATAAATATAATGTCATCTTTCTTCAAGCTTTGACATCAGAATATGTACACTTACATGCTTTCTCAAACCTAAGTTAAATAATAATTTCCTTTAATCCAAAAATATTAAATATGTAGCACATATACATTAAAATTAACCAGAACAAGCAATATTTTAATTCAGTTGCTTAATTTATGTCTTCTGGTGAATGATAGGTTTTACCAGAAAAAAAAGTTCAGATTACTGCAAAACAATGGTATAATATATTTTCTTATAATATCTTTATTAAAGATATATCAATGTACACATATATCTTTGTGTTTTTACAATAGCATTAATTTTGGTTCTACTATTAACATTTTATAAGATCTTTTCCTATATAAACAAATTCCAATTTACTATAACCATGATTACTTACAATATCTTTTTTTTTTTTTTTTTTTTTTTTTTTGAGATGGAGTTTCGCTCTTGTTACCCAGGCTGGAGTGCAATGGCGCAATCTCGGCTCACCGCAACCTCCGCCTCCTGGGTTCAAGCAATTCTCCTGCCTCAGCCTCCTGAGTAGCTGTGATTACAGGCACGTGCCACCATGCCCAGTTAATTTTTTGTATTTTTAGCAGAGACGGGGTTTCACCATGTTGACCAGGATGGTCTCGATCTCTCGACCTTGTGATCCGCCCGTCTCGGCCTCCCAAAGTGCTGGGATTACAGGCTTGAGCCACCGCGCCCGGCGATTACTTACAATATCTTAATGTATTGTTGCAGAAAGGCAAATCAGTTATAGGTATCACATGTAGAATAAAAAATTAAGAGACTAATTGTAATATTAAAGAAGCAATCTTGTTACATAGATACATGTAATGTTGCATGTTGCATGTATTGTTATTCAAAGTAGAAAGAACATGTAACAAGTTTCCTAACTTGGCTAAGAAGATCACAAATTTCTGTTCTCAAACAAAATGCCAATTTACTAGTTCCCTGAAGATTTTACTTAGATAATTGTTATGCAACACTAAATAAACACAAGTTTATTAACACAATATAAATCAAATTCTAAGTTTTTACAGGCTTGGCCCATGGTACCCAAGCATATTGAGTTTTATTTCCAGTTGTACAAGAATGGAAATTTTAGATGTCTGTATTGATTCACTTGACTACACTGTGCTATGGTAACAACAGCTAATAATAACTACGATTTGTTAAGTGGCAGGTGATACACTTAGGATTTTAGGCCCACTTGCTTAACTTCCCATGTATGAACTACTACTATTCTCATTTTGTGGATGAGATACTGAGGCTGAGAGAGCTTAACTAGTTTGTCAGATTCCAAAGAGCTAGCAAGGTTGTGGAACCAGGATTGGAACCCAGGAACTCTGACACTAGTTTTAAGCACTCTGTCTTACTGCTTGCTAGTACCAAAACAAAATATGGCTCTCATTCTAAGCACTTCTCTGGCCATGAATTTTGAAAAGACCATGTGTGTGACAATCTTTATCTGGGGGCACTGGGAAGTGGCATATGGAATCATCATTTTTGGTATCTCCTGACAGATACCTCCTGCCGGTCTTGCTCCTGGGGGATGCCTTTGGTCCACACTATTGTTTCCTTTCATGCATTACTCTCATCTGAAGCTGAAGCCCAAACAGATGGAATGACTAGTAGATCACATAACTTTTAAATGATAGTGTTAGATGTCTTTTCATCTGAAGAAACACAAATTATTTTTTACATACACAATTGTACTTTTGAGGGTATATGGGAGGCAATGTGGCATATTTGGGAAAAAACGTGAATTGTGTAGCCAGAAAGACCTAGGTAAACAATCTGAATTTCACCAGTTACTAAGAAGGTATGCACTTGAGTGAATTTCTCGACCACTCTAAACCTTAGTTTCACCTTTAGTAAAATGGAGATTGATTAGATCATCTATTCCAGCTCTTCTGTGTGTCTGGTGTATGCAGATACTGGACAACATGCTCCCTTCCCATATGGCCCTATTTCTTCCCATCTGATAGCTGCATAAACTCTTCTGACTCATACTTTAGTAAGTTGAGACATAGCAATATAACAAGAGACTTTATTAGAGTTATTTGGGGTTTAATTTAACTGGGAGAAATCATAGTCAATAAATTCTTTAATCTCAGGCATACTTTTCTAAGTCAATTAGCTGATAATCATGAGTTTTGGAGAAGATTATCTAATAAACCAAGATTTGTAACAAACCTACCTGTAAGAATGGTTGGTAGTTTGTAAGGATATAAGTCTTCAATGCTTGATCCTTGTATACTTGTCTTAGTATTTCTTAATAACTATATTCATTAAGGTATGTTCTGTGGATCAATAAAGTTAGAATCATCTGAGGTGCTGAATAAAAATTCAGATTTCTGGGCTCTATTCAGAAAAGGAAGAGTAGATTGATTCCCTCTGGGACATGGTGGTTGAGTTGGGTTTTGAAAGATATGTAGAATTTCAACCTGGAGACACAGGCAGTTTAGGACAACAGGGATCTTCCAAGCAAAAGGAACTGTGGATTGAAATACACGATTATGAGAGGTAATTTTTTAAGGAGTGCTTTTTTATACTGTTCTTTAAAAATATAAGTTGTTACAGACTTTTTGGAAGCTAATATTTGTACAATGGACTTGTACAAATATTCAATTCTGTCTTTCCACTTTCTGATATATATTCTAAGGAAACATACAGATGTGTACATTTCAGGAAACAATTTAAATATTTACTCATCCAGGGAATAATAGATGAATAACTTACAGTGCCTTCACTTATTTAATTTTCAAATATTTGTTTACATTTATTGTTATTGATATCTGTGAGTAGCTAGCATGTGTCAGGCCCTAGTCTATGCACTGAAAATAAATCAATGGACAAAACAAAACAAAACAAAATATT